ATTTGAAAAAAAAAAAAAAAAAAAAAAAAAAAAAAAAAACAAACTGTCCGAAACACGTTGTAATTATTAATGTGCACTGAGATCGAATAAACTTCTTGTCTTTATTGTCTTGATCAGCGACAGTTGTTTCGGAAATAACAAGCCATTCATTGGTGCATACCACAATCAGATGCTCTCGGGGTCAGTAATTTCTCGCCTACGGGTCAGTGATGACTTCAGTACTTGCGAGGGGAAAGAATACGGAGAGTTGAGTGACACGGGGAAACTTTTGAGTACCACAAGAAAATAGCGACTAGGGCACAGTGTGCAGCCAAGAGGCAAAATAGCTTTATCTGTTAAAAATTTGACTCGAAAACGAGCTCCAGAAGGATGTGCTGGTTTCTCGTCTTCGTACTTCACCTCAGCTGCTTATAGGTAGTAAGCGGAGAAGTGTACACGAGGAGCGAAAGTACCATTGTCATGGTGCATTCTAGCGTAAGACGGCATTTCGGACAGATTGGATCAATCATTCTCTAATTTTGCACGACTTCTTTTGACTCCTTGCTTTGTACTGCGGGGAATTTTTTTTCGTTGATTTTCACGCTGCTTGCTAGATTTTTCAATGCTGATTCCCTGATAAGTCTGGCTTCTCTATGAGTTAGTGAACTGGAAGCAAGTACCATCAGCACCAGTTGCTGCAAGTCTTCCTACGGCTTTATTCTTTGTTTCAAGCAGCCATTTGTTGCTCAGAAGCAAACCTGTAGTGCGGGGGAATGTTATACTAAGTTAAAAAGACTGTCAAGTATTACTGCTATTGCTACTGTCCTACATCACTACTGCCACTATTTTACATTACTATTAATTGCTTGTCAGCTGGGATACATCTCGAAATAGTAAAAGGATAAGAAGCAGCCTGGTTGGAAGCGAGTGCCATCAGCAATCAATTTTTGCAAGTTTTCCTATGGCTTTTTTTCCGAAAGTTGCTTACGAGCAAGCCTACAGTGCCGAAAAATATTATACCAAAGTTAGACTGACTGACGACAAAGTGCTGAATTCAAAAACAGTCGTGCACGGAGCTTCTTTTTATGCGTTTTGTGCTGTGTAACAACAGTACCTAAATATCAACGCGCACCAGACCAGCCGATGCGATCATGAGTTTTGTGCAGTTCGTTCACCGAACAATTGCGTATTAACGATTTTCAATGCTTTGTACTTTAGTCTGTGCAAAAATAGTTGAAACGTTGAAAAATAGTTAAAAATTTCACACACCGACACCTGAAATCTCACGCACTGGCACTACCGCAAAACTGCACCTTCATGGCTTTTATGGTTCCTGAGACAATAAATTCCCTGCCAAAATTTTCACGGGGCGTAAGCTGATACCCGACAGCGCAAGAACGCTGCATTCGAATCTGTAAGGTGTACGTGCAGAGGGGGTCACTGTCCTAAAATTTCAGCCCCCTAGATTCCGTGATCCACGAGGTAATAATTTACCCGCCAAAATTCTCATGGGACCGTGAGCGAGACCCGCGAGTGTGGGAGCACTGAATTTGAATTTTTAAAGTCGTACGTGGACAAGGGGTCATTACGCTACAATTTCAGCTTCGTAGATTTTGTGGTTCCCGAAATAATAGTTTACCCGCCAAAACTTTCATAAAATTTCAGCTTCCTCGCTTTTGTGTTTCCCGAGATAACAGTTTTCCCGCCAAAACTTTCCTGAGGGCGTATATGAAACCTGAGTATACGGGGGAAAGGGGACTGAATAAAAATCTCCTGGGTCGAAGGTGCGTAGGGAACATTGCCTTAAAATTTCAGCTTCGCAGCTTTCGCGGTTCCCAGGGTAGTAATTTCCCCACCAAAGCATTGGTGGAGTCATATGTGGTACTCGCGGGTAAGTGAAGGCCGTACTTAGTACCCCAGGGTAAATGGAAGCCGAATTCAAACCGAAGAGGTCGTAAGGTCATACCCAGCCGGGGAAAATCCTATTAAAGAATTTCCAGCTTCCTAGCTTTCGTGGTTCCCAAGATAATAATTTTTCCCGCCGAAACTTTTGTATGTTACCCGCGGGTAAGTGGAAGCCGAATTTAAGTTCGCGGAGTTGCACATAGGCGAGGAACATCCTACCAAAATTTCAGCGCCCTAGCTTTCGCGGTTCCCGAGATAATAATTTTTCCCGCTGGAACTTGCGCGGGGTCATAAGTGGTACCCACGAGTAACTGAAGGCCGAATTTAAGTTTGCAGGGTCACACGTGGACGGGGAAATTCTTGCAAAATTTTAGCGTCC